AACTAAAGTTTGTCACCAGCAATACATTGTTGCTGAGAAACACGGATGGTATGTGTTGTATTAAATGTAGTTGCGATCACTGTCTGAGTGTGTATATGTATTTACGTGCAGTATGTTGGGCTGGAGATAATTAAATGTTGTAGCTGAATCTGGCTTCATTATAACGCAGTTAGCGTCTGTTTGGGCAAGCCTTATATTACGTATATATATTACGTCCCTCCCTTCATGCGATAGGGGAAAGTATAGATAAAGTATGGAAGTTAGCTGAATTGCGGGGATTGATGCGGAAATTTTCGCGTTCGGCGGGGCTGTAACTGATACGTAACAGATAGCGTGCTTCGTTACTCTGTTTCTTAAATAGAAGTGCGCCTTTGCTAAGTTAAATACGGATTTAGGTCGGACTCACGTTACGGAGTTCTATATAGCGGAGGCCTACAGGACACTCAGCTCTTCTCAGCGTTGCTCAGGCTGGTCGAGAATAGCAGTCGGATTGCTAGTGTTCCAGATTCTTTGTATAACCATAAAGATTTGGACATTGCTTTCGATACATTAGCAGATGCAGTATATGGAAGGAAGATTTAACGTGCATCACGTGAGCAGAGCGCATGCAGCACATGTTTAAATAATATCCGGACAACCAAAACTCTTGAGGGACAACCATATGCTACTCTCTTGGTTGTCCTCCGGACAACCCCCAAAAAAACCTTAAAATTGAGCACTATTATGTAGTTAAAGAATTATGACTACAACTTGAGATCTACAAGAATTAACTTGCTCACACGTAATTTTTCAATTATAACCAATAAACTCAGGATGCGAAACGTAAATTCTTTTTCACGGAATATTACAGCAGATTGAGTGGGCTATTTCACATACAAATTTCACGTGTTCAATCGTCGTGAATAAGATTAGAGTAATAATGCTTTCATCTGCCAACACGTCAGGTGGTTAATCTAAAATATGTGTAACGTACGTACTGCTAACACATATTAGACAATTGCAGCTACATATATATATATGCATGACACTATTTATGAAATGAGGAAGTTCTTGCAACCAGTACCCCCTGCGTCCAGTTTCTTGTCAATAAAATTCACAACGACCTCAGCTGCTATAGCTACAGTGACCTGTAGAAAGGAAAGATCTGCCTTTTAAAAACAGCAACTAATTTTCGATGAATTTTGGTTATCCATCTTTCCTTCTAGAACTAGAAATGGCAGTTGTCGGCTTGTCGCCAACCACATGTATCCCCCGCGATCTAGTATGAATGAAATATCTCCTGGTTTTAATTGGTACGCGACACACCTTCTCCCCAAGATGTGTAAGTATACCAATTTTGCTCGCGCGAAGTCAATTAGGAGCCGAGTTATAGAGCGGAAGAGAAATATGATTAGGGTGAAGAGGTCAAGGTCAAGGTCAAATAAAAGTCGCAGTGACCTGGTTTTGTACGCGACACACCCTCTCCCCAAGATGTGTAAGTATACCAAGTTTGGTCGCGCTAGGTCAATTAGGGGCCGAGTTATAGAGTGGAAGGGAAATATGATCAAGGTCAAGGTCAAGGTCAAATAAAAGTCGCAGTGACCTGGTTTTGGTACGCGACACACCGTCTCCCCAATATGTGTAAGTATACCAAGTTTAATTGGTCACACTAGGTCAATTAAGGGTTGAGTTATAGAGCAGAGCGGCGCTGCAAACCAAGTTTGGTTGCGCTAGGTCAATTAAGGGTCGAGTTATAGAGTGGAACGAAAAGTGTCTGCGGCGGCGGCGGGGCGGCGAGCGGCTGCTGGACAAACAAACATGAAACCATAATTATAGTATCCCCACGGACTTCGTCGTGGGGGATACAATTATCAAGATATTGTGTTACTTAAATAATGATTTATTATAGAGGTATATGCATTTAAAATTGTTTACTTGCGTTCACAAATGTCCTTCTAGTATATGTTTTACCCTAAAGATTTGCTATAAGAACAAATATCCAATATGTGGTAATTGAAGTCAATGGGAAAACGCTATTAACGTTGGCCGTTCGGTTGCATATTTTGTGCAGAGATAATGCAGTCAGTCATAGTACGCAGAACACGTTTTTAATTATTTTAGGCTTTGATTGTAAGTAATTTGAACACATTTATTACACCTTTGAGTAAACTCACTTGCCCTATCCTTTTCTCCTCTTGATCCCATTTCTTTTTCACGCCTATACCCACTCTCTCAAATGGCATGTCCTTCTTTACCAAGCTAACACAAAAACGTTACTATAAACTACTTATTATAACGTTTCTTTATCTCCTAACCCTAAATACTCTATATTTTTATTTATATATAATATACATATATATATATTTTTTTCTTCTTTTTTTCTTACGCTGCTCCTATTTTTGTCACCAACATTTTTTTTCATTTCTCTCTCCTCATCCTCTCCAATACATTGAAAACGCTTGTAATTCTTTTCTGAAGTACACAATCTTTGCCTGTTGGTAAATGTGAGTAGTGGGTTCAATTTTAAAATTTTGATTGTATTGCAATAGTTGAAATGTACTATTGATACTATTGCAGTATTGCGTTACTATATTTAAATGTGCTCCAGGTCCCATCTCTACCACCGTCGTCCCACCGTCTCCTCCACCTCATCCACCTCCTAACCCTAACCATAACCCCTTTCCTTTTCTACCTTCTCCCCCTCCCGTATTTGTTCTCCGTCCCTTCCCCATCAATCTCTCGTGCTCTCTCCTCCATCCCAATTTACCATATTCTTCTCTTTCCGATCATCCACCTCGATCCTGTGCTCCTCCCCCCTGCCTCATCCTCTGTTCTCTTTGTGGGAGCAAACAGAGGTTTACTATATATGTGACCAATTTTTCTGTGACCAATTATCCGTTTTACCAATATTCCGATGACCAATTTTCAATCATGAAAAACATGATTGACAAATCATGCGACCAGTATTACGGGTACTTAATTTGCCAGCGATGTATTAATTGCCATCAGGCAAATTGCAATTAATCGATAGTTCGATGTATCGTCACATACTTAGCTGCTGGTGCTGGCTTTGCCCGAAACAGTATAACGTCCTATTCTAGAGTAACATCAAGAGTAGAAATAATAAGAGATCCTATTAGTATTATCTACTCTTGATAACATTCAACCTCGACTGCAAGCGCCATGACCGCGTCTGCACTAGTCATGATTAGTGATGCGTGAACTGCGTGCACGCACGCTATTCCAGACAAAGAAGTGTCTGTTTGAATTACGAATGGCTGATCCGTGCGCGTGCTGAATTCACCAGCTCCAAAACAAACAGGGGCGCTCAGTAAAATTTCATCTTGACAACTGGTTGGAAACTCAGGGGCAATATCACAGGCAGGCACTTGGAACGTTTCAATAATACACGAGCCGCAGAGCGTCTGGGCTCATCTGAGGTCTGTTGCTACGGTTATAAACGTAACATTTAAGTCGTGCGTAGTGACACCTTTGTTAGGCGCAGATATGCAGATATGCAGTTGCGTACACATCATTTCAGCAACCTTCTGCATTCTGCATACCTCCCAAATCTTTCTAGACGAAAACCTAACGCGCCAACCAAAAAAATTAGCAATTACGACCATTGGATTTATTCTCGCCCTACGTGCAGAGTCGAAAGGCTTCTGCAATCGCCAGAACTGCTCAATTGACCGATTATCCGGCTTTCTGTAGTACCCAGAAGGCTTCGAGTAGTTAGTTCTACATAGAGGGCAGCGAATTGGATGAAAAGGCGCCACGAGGTGGCGCTGTTCGCGCTTCGCGCGTATATCCGGGCTGCAGATCGTCGAGTTGGATGAAAAGGCGCCACGAGGTGGCGCTGTTCGCGCTTCGCGCGTATATCCGGGCTGCAGATCGTCAAGCTATATACATCAGGTATTATACAGTATTCTTAAGTGTACATCACATATACAGTGTTATTAATAAGCTTTTTTTCGTGTGTTCCTTTTATGAATTTTGAGCAAATTTCCAGAGAAAAATAATCAGATGAGTCATTGTCAGATGAGTCATTGTCAGATGAGTAACTGTCATTGAAACGTATGACAGTGTTAAACTACAATTGGTAATCAAGACAAGCAGTAAACATTCGACAAGGAAGAGTGCGTCCTATGGAGGAGTTTCACGCAGTATACACGCCATCAAACACTCGCACAGCCTCAGCACTCGTTGCTCGCCAACACATAATCAATAACTATACGTCTGGTACTATTACGAATAAAATATTCGAGCCTGCATGATCACTGCGAAGGCAAAGGCTGTACGTACAGTCTCACGGACGCACACACACGCATACACATACTGACGCGAATATATAATGACGGTGTTTCACCTGGGAGGTCGCACTAGCTTTCTGCTGAAAATACATAGTCGTACATTTAATTTGGTGTAGTAAGTACTGCTTGAAGTACCGGTAAGTACGGCTGCAACGTTACGATTGCGCTGACAAATGCGCTATACGTACAGCTAGAGTCGACCTAGTCCAACAACAAGTAAAGCCTGTGCCATGCGAGAGTGAAGATTGCTCTGAGAAGCTGTGCTTGCACGAGTTGTCGTTATTATGTAATATTATATAAATAATAAGGAAATCCAAAATAGTAAAGGTTCCCGATCACGCACACTAAAACGCGCGCGCTCGCTGGGCGCTCGCTCGCATATTTTGCGCACGCACGCACGCACGCACGCGTGTAAGGACACGCATACACAAAAGTAATAGGAGTGAGTGCATCATTAATAAAAGATTACATAACTCGATCATTAACTGTCATAAGTACACTATAGACTACTGGCGTACTGCACTACCTCCAGGCACATGCAATGTTATTTGAGAGCGTTGTATTAAACATGATATTATTCAATTCACCGCCTTACATAGTATTCAGTATTAGTACTATTAGTACCGGTATTACTATTAGTAGGCCTATGAGTTAACAAGGACTATACGCCTTACATTCAACATTGATGACGAAAACAAGAAAACTTACCTATTTGAATTAGTGCCAGGATCTCAACGACCGGTAGAATATAACCCTGTAAACTCCTCATTGCGGTCTTATGTCATAAGTGACAGCACGAAAATCGCAGTACGTACAGTAGTACGTATAGTTCTGTCACTGTGAAAATCCTATAATTTGTAGACCGTGCTATAACGGCAACCGTACCGCACACAATACGTACTCGCTGCTAGCTGCGATCATGAAATGGCGCTGACGCCGCTGAGGCTGCTATTAACAATGAGCGGTGACGAATCCATGACGAATCCATGCTGCGAAAACGAGGCTACGATGCGAGCATCGCTGCAGCATTCCGTATCGAGGCAGCGCTCCGTAGCTATTTTTAGATTCGTCCGTAAGATATATATACGCATTTATATGATCCTATCTGCAGCAAGGCAAGGCTAGCTATGGTTCTGAATGTTAACAATGTTTTCGTCAAAACGCTCAGGTACTAAACCTGCCGAATACTACCCGATAACATTGCGGAGGTGAAGCATAAAAATAGGTTTATTTATCAGACGGTGGACGGTTCTTCTAGGCTAATACACGACACGGTGATACGTACCGTATACCTGCACGAAAACATTTCGCACATGTAAACTTTTCACGACTTCACACAGGTAGTAGGTTGGGCGCATACGCCAGTTTTTTTTGTCAAAAGGGATCAATGTATCAATGTATGTAGCTACGTTGGGGGAGCTGAATGTGGCGTACGGGCCGAATGTGTGTGCGCGCGCTAGAGCGAGGCATCTGACAGGTCACCTGGACGTCAGTCGGTCACTCATAACCACGGCGAGGTCAGGAAACAAACGGAGTAGATGTTTTTGTTCCCGCAGCCTCTGCTCCAGAGACCGGTATCAGCAGGAGGCCAGGGACGTATACGAAGTCGTTAAACAACATTTAAATATTGCGCGAGTTCTCACGACTGGCCGGCACTGCGAAGTCGTGAACTCTTGCTGAACGCTGCGTTTACACATTTCAGTGAGTGAGTTATATATATTTAGTGGTTTGCAGTGCACAGTGTGTATATAGAAGAAAAATGGAGACAACAATTAATAACGGGGGGAGGGATCGAGGGCAGCACTATGACACTGGGCCACATCATCTCCAACCATCTCGCCTCTCGTCTTTCTGCCTTCGTGACATAGCATTCGTTCGATATCGTTCATTATCACATGCTCCGCTGTCTAACAGAACACAAGCTCGGTGTCCTCGCGTAATGCCTAGCTAGTGAATCCCACCACTTATTGGCTGCACCGTGGTTCTTTCTGCATAATTATTTCACTATCACTCGTTCTGTGAGTTACAGTTATGAGTTCTGGAAGACCAACCCAAAATACAACATCTAGGCAGTCGATCTAACAGAGCAACAACAATTAACAATCAAAGCTCAACATTACGGTGTGTAATTCAACACTTGCCATGACAGAAAACAACACGCAAAATATGAACTGCTGACCATATTTTTAAAACGTAAAAATGCTTGTCGGGACACAAGAGAACATAACATATAATATAACATGACATAACATCAGGAGTGTCGTTATACAGATCTATATTACTATGGCTGCATGGCACTCCTGATAACATTAGGCGCAGATATGCAGATATGCAGTTGCGTACACATCATTTCAGCAACCTTCTGCATTCTGCATACCTCCCAAATCCCATTGGTTGATACAAATCGCGTGCCTGAAACTCCTGTTTTATGGTGGATTGTGACCCTAAACCTAACCCTATTAAAAAAAAATTTTATTGTTGTAAATAAATCATGTACATATTTGCGTTAATTGGAAAAAATTAGTTAAATGGATAAAGATATAAAAATACAGAAAACAGGTAAATAATAACAAATCTGATGGGATTTGATCCAACGACCTTTGAGCCGTGACGCCTGTGCTCTAGCCGATGGGCTATCCAGGCTTATTGGCTTTCTAGATTATGGATGTGCCATGAATATGAGAACACTGTGACATCATTGAAGCAGTTCAGGAATCCATGTTTAACCCTCCTCTTGAGGGTCAAAAGGTTATCAGACTCTTACCCTTCGCACGTCAGTGGAAAGCACATTTTATGGTCCTTCCAATAAAGTGATAAAAATGGTAGGTCAGCGCTGAAACAAAAAAGTTTTTCACTCTGTCCATTAGGCCATATCCTCAGAAAATGCCTGATATCTGACCTTTCCCCCACTGCCCTTTGACCTGTGACCTCCAATTTCGCACTGGTGATGGGTTTCCTGCCCATCACACCATATACACCGAATATTAAGAGCATAGGTCGAGCCGTTCAGATTTGTGCCGCAATTTCGTATTTCCTCCTATACATTAAGTTAAGGGGGAAATATTCCCCCTCCGTTTACACATCTTGACCTTTGACCCTGTACCCCCAAATTTGTCATCCTGATTCCTTTTCACGATCTTTGGTAACTATCTGATATGGTTAGGGTTAGGGGCGGGGTAGGCGTAGGCGACTCCCTAGACTCGTTAGTGGAGTAGGCGAGGTACGGTACGGCATATTAGATAGTGCCAGGGTACGTTCCGGTATACCGGACCGTACCCATGCAGGGTACGTTCCGGCAGTACCCTGGGGGACATAGACCCTATGAGCTCTAATTTGCTGCACATATTAGCCGCGTTCACACGTAGCAAGAAATCCGGTATTTAGCGTTATGATTTAGCGTATTTAGCGGTATGACCATGGCCCTGTCACACCTTGCCGATTTAGCCAGCGTATGCCGGACGTATCAAAAATTTGGTGAATACGCTGGCGTACGTCGAATAAGTTATGGGTAAGCTTTGTATAAGTTAATAGCACGCTGAAGCACGCTGTTATACGTCGTAGTACGGCGAGGTCGTCGAAAATTTTTGAGCATGCTCAAAATTTTCCGACGTATGCCAGCGTATGCCCATACGTCTATGGTTGGCCACGGTGGACAAAAATCAAGAATACATGACTACATATTTATGGTCACCATAAATCATATTTATGGTCACCATAAATCGACCAATGGGAAGCGAGGAATATATGCCCGCATATAATCGAATTAGGGAGGGAGGAGGAGGAGGAGGAGGAGGAGGAGGAGGCAGAGGGTGATGCTGAGGAGGAGCAGGAAAAGTAGGAGGAGGAACAGAGGGTTATGCTGAGGAAGAGCGAAGTGATAAAATGATAGTTACACGGAGTTGAGTGCATGTGGGGAGAACTGGAATGGATTAGGAGGGGTAAGGACCAAGATAACGGAGAAGTGGGGTGCACCGTGCAGCAACCGAGAAGTATGGGGGGGGGGGAGTTTCATACAGAGGGCGAGAAGAGCGGAAAGCGGGAATGGCAAAAGAACAGGGAGGCACCAATAATCACTCAAATCGGTTTGACTTGATTGAATATTGTGCCATTAGAAGTTCTGCAAGCACCGCAGTTGACATCTATAATACGATAGCAAGTAAACTACTAAATTGTTGTTGCTTGAATATTGACAAGTGAATAGTAAACGTAGTAGTAACTAAGAGTGCCTTGCTTCTATGCTCCTGAGCTGCTCCGGAAAACAAGCAAATTAACCCCTTTGTAATTAACCCCAATTTGGTACACGAGAAATGTGAAACTTAGTTGACCTTTTCTCTTGCTCAGTGGGCAATCGAAAATGGTCAATCAAAAAGCATCATCCCTCTTCCTCCCTTTCCTTACAATCATTTCCTCTCCTGCACTTCTATCTCCCCCTCTGCTCCTCTTTCTCGCCATTTTCTTATTCACCCGCACCTCCTACTCCTCCTTGCCATCAGTGCATGACTGCAGGTGCCTTAATTCTTCTTATCCTCTCCATCATCCTACCCCAAGTCTGCTCATCCTCCTTCTCAACATCACCCCAATGTGAAATAATCTATAATTGTGAGTCTTATAAAGACAGTAAAACATCGTCTCTCCCTGAATTTCTCATTCCGCCTGATATATATACTCGTTTATGAAATGCGTGTAGTGGAATAGTATAGTATCATTTTACAGCAACCACTGTAGAATTCGGTGCACGAACATCCAGAGAGACCGGGTACAAGATGGCGTTGCGCAAAAGATGCGTTGTTCCCCGACCGCCAAGAGCGGTTAAACCGCGCACTTCCGCGGGACTGGGCGCACGCGACCGCGGTGTGTTGTATGTAGTATTTCGCGCTGCTCGCTATACGAATCCGCGCGCCGAAGGAGGGCGGGCCCGCGAATCCGTATAGCGGGAAGCGTAACATCNACTCTTTTTTTACAAAAGATACTAACAGGGGAGCACATCTATTATTATATGGCAAACATTTGACAGCAAATACTGAGCCAATTTCCCCTCGATTACCACATCCAACAATTAATATAGCACACAAATTCACCATGATTAATTCAACTGTGCATGATGACGGCCGGCGAAGTTTACGGATAGGTTCCTTGGGCATGTGTACTCTACTAGTCGTGTATCGTACTCCAATATGGCCCACTGGAAAAATCGTGACTTCATGCGAGACCACTCTACTGCATGGTATGTTTTCCAGTGGTTCTTCATTTAACACCTAAAAAAATCAAGATGACAATAACAATCAAAGTAAATCGATATTCAAAATAATAATAATAATGACTTGGCTGCAAGAATCATTCTTTTGCACTCCCTTAGCACCGTATGCGTTTCTGCATTTATACTATTATTAATTAATACTCACACTCAGGACACAACCATGCCCCCTTGGGAGCACTATACACACTCGCACGCATGCACGCGCGCGCACACACACATACATACATAATTACATACAAACATACATACATACACACACACACGCACGCACGCACGCACGCACACACACCATGATTTAGGTAAATTAATATGACTCTGGCCACCTGTGCAGACTGCAGACCCATGCTCTATCATTTATTAGGTTATTAGTGATTTAAAATCGTAACACGAAAACAAAAATAACTAGAGCACTCGGAGAGCGCAATGCAGACCTCCGCCAAGGCAGCTGTGAAAATTTTTTGTCACTGTGAAATTTTTTATTAATTAATTAATTAATTAAATAATTAATTGCATCCGGATCACCACCAAAATGCGCGCTACTACACATTTACACAAACACCGCTTGATATTATTTGAACATATCAATCAACAAGAGCCGCAGAGCGTCTGGGCTCATCTGAGGTCTGTTGCTACGGTTGCATTTAAGTCGTGCGTAGTGACACCTTTGT